TGTTTACTCTTGAATTTCATCTTGCTTTTGGTGCAAAATTTTATGAAGTGATGCTATTGTGTATGTTTGTGTTTATATATGAATGAGTTAGCTGATTATTCTAAGATAGCACCATCAGCCTCTGAGCCAAAAAAGTGGAATAACACAATGGTTGTGATATATATATATTTTTTGTAAATATATTTGAAGATATTCACTGATTTCACTGTGAAGTTTATTCTCATGTGATACTTGGATATTTTTTTAAAATGATTGCTGGCTTAGGGATTTGACTAAGAAATTTTTTGCATTTCCAAAATGGAGCCACATGGCTGATGTCATTTTCATTTCTACCAAAAAATCAAAGATTGTTAAAGATCTCTTCAAAGGAGATTACAACCAAATGTTTGTGAACAAAGAAGATCTGTCCTTGGAATCTGTAAAGCAGTACAAGGTGAAATGTCCTGATGAACTTTCGAAGATAATGGTGATTAAAGACAAAATTTTTGAATTAGGACAAAAGGTGGGGCAGACAATCATATTTGTTCGCACGAGAAATAGTGTGAGCATGTTGCATAAAACACTTACCGATGATGGCTATGAGGTGTCAACCATTCAAGGTGCTCTGAAGCAAGAAGACAGGGACAAGATAGTGAAAGAGTTTAAGGATGGACTTACTCAAGTACTTATATCTACTGGTCTTCTTGCCCGGGGTTTCGATCAATCACAGGTGTGCACCTCTTAGCTTTGTCTGTTGTTGATTTACCCATTTAGTGGTCAAAATGCTTACATCCTAACATTGTTCATTTTAATAGGTTAATTTGGTCGGCAATTTTGATCTTCCAGTGAAGCATGAATTCCGATCAGAGCCTGATTGTGAGGTGTACTTGCATTGGGTTGGGAGGGCAGGACGTTTCGGCCGCAAGGGTAAATTTGTTGATTTCAGGACCCTATCTTTGCAATTCCATTTGTATTTCATTCATCAACTGTTCATTACTAGAAATAAAATTGCTTGTTGGTGAAATTCTTTTTTGCTTAAAAACAATCTTATATAGTTTGTGGTTAACCATATTATAGATTTGGTTGAACTCCAAATATGCAAGTATGAAAACTCTTTAGTAATAGCTGTGAAAGTTGGGATTTTAGTTGAAGGCGTTTTGAATGAGTTGTTAGATACTTATATCTATGAAGTATGTCATAAGGACTGCAAAGCATCTAAAAAAATGTCATATGGACTGCAGTGAACTAGCAGCAATTATCAGAACTAAAGCCTTCTTTCTTTCTTTCTTTTTCCTTTTCTGGATCTTTTTTTTGTTTTTGTTTTGGGGGATCAAATTCCTTTTCTGGATCTTGGTAGCAGGAAACTCCTACTTGGGTGACGTTTCTTACTTAGAAACTCGTTTCTGCACTCCAAGTAAAGAAGCTTGTAAGAAAACTCTTTCATCGAGAGGAAACTGCTCTCACGCCGATTGGGATAGAAACTCTTAAATAAACAAATCTCAAAGAAACAAAAGAAAAACAACTTAAACTTATTATATTACTTTCTATTTACATAATATTTATTTATACATGACAAAGACAATTTGTAATTGACATGAATCTTAAATATTTTATGCATATTTTAACACATATTACAACTAAGCAAAAATAAATAATTACTAATATATTTATATATATTTAACATATATACACACACACTCATAGGCGCTCCCAACCCTAGAAATTTCTATATGCCCTCCCTCTCCCTCGCTCCCGTCCCCGCCTTTGCTCCGTGCAACTAAGTTCTAGATTGTTGTTTTATTAGGTGTTTTAAGTTGTGACTATGAGTGGGATGTGTCAAATGAATGATGGACATTTACATCTTACCGTGTCATTCAGTTTATGATTAACTAAGGTTTTCTCTTAATAGTCTAAGATGGTGTTTGGGAAGTGAGTTTTTATGTATGTTTTTTTAGATGTAGGATATTATTGAAGAAAAAAATTGTGTGTTTAGGAAGATAGTTGGGTTTTTTTGTGGTTGGATGTGATATTTGTGAGAGAAAAAGTGAAATGATTATGGAGTTGGATGTGATATTTTGTTTGGATGTGTTTTTTTTGGTTTTGCAAAATTTTTGTCTTTTAGTGGAAAAAATGAGAAAAAACCCAACTAAAATTCTTCCCAAACATCACCTAAGTCTTGGGTCGAAGATGTGCAGGTCTTATGTCATTTATATGATTGCTTTGCTGACATTATTGAATATCAACTTGGATTGTGCTTCAAATCATAAAGAATAAATGAATATATTTGACTATGGATAACCCAGAACTTGGACAATATATGTGCCCACATGCATTCCCTTTTCTATTGGTGTGTTTTTAAAGAACATCAATGTGAATATTGGCTACAGATTCTGGAGGTCACCCCATGTGAAAGGGGTGATCCTCATGTCAACAATGGAAGGCAACCAACCAAGTCAAGCTTGGTGGCCACCAACCATGTCAAAAGTCAAGAATGAAGGCTCTCCCACCTACTGCTTTGTGTATAAATAGAGACGGGAGGGAGAGGATATAGATATCAGAAATTGGTGCTGAGAGGTGTGAGTTGAGAGCAAAGAGAGAGAGAATTACAGAGAGTGTGTAATTCTTACCATTTTGTTCAATATAGTGAATCCGCTGCCCGTGGACGTAGGCAACTTGCCGAACCACGTTAAAACTTGTGTCTTATTGCTTGTTTGAGTTCCCTGGTGTGCCCCCGATCCTCAACAATCAAAGCTATATTTGTTTCTGTATTTTTCGTTCTGTTGGATAAATTTGGAGACTCAAGTAGCTTTCCTCTCCACCTTTCAGCTAATTGTAAATGGTTTTACTGGATCCTACAGGAGCTGTGTTCAATTTGTTGTGCAATGATAGAGATGATATGATCATGTCCAAGATTGAGAGGCATTTCAACATGGAAGTAGCTGAGGTAAAATATTCTGCTTGTGCCTTGCTGACTGAGTTACGTAATTATAGGAGATTTTGAGTGTTTCAAAGTCAAACTAGAGGCAAAAGTAGCGACAGTGTAAATGTCACTTTCTCAAGGCGTACACATGGTCAATGTTTAATTGTGTTCTGTTTTTTTTTTTTGTTTTTGAGTGCAGGTTTCATCTTTTTTTTTTTTTGAGTGCAGGTGCCATCCTGGAGAAGTAATGAGGATTTTGAGGCTGCTCTTAAAAAAGCTGGTTTGATTTACAATATTTGCCCATGATCGTCTGGGATTTTTATATTTCCCCAGATGCGAGCTTCTAAGTGAAGCACAGGATATCTAGTGTTGACACATGAAAATGGACAGCAGCGGAGTCTGGTGTTTTTAAGTCATCAGAGTAGTCTTATGCAGATGTATAATCTGTTTTCATGTATCTTAGTGTGTCAATGGGCTTGTGCAAGCCTTGTTAATCAAGGCTTCAATTTTTGGTTTCATTTCTGTGATTATGAGGATAATTCTTTCTTACTCTGTTTTGGAATTTTGAGGTGGTTTTTTAAATTTTGATATGGAGTTGTTGGATTTGGTATCAAATTTGCAAGAATGTTGGATATCCTGATTTGGATTTATGGATATGAGTTAGTTTAATGATATGAGCTCTCTCTGTGTGTGTGTCTCTCTCTGTGCATGTGAACAATTTGAGTTTAAAACCATTTGGTGTGTTGAGGTTATTATGATTGTCTGATTTACAGTGCAAAATGCAATTTATGTTCTTGCATTTCCATAGTCACTGCAAGAAAATCGAAAATTAGCGGCGTTTTTAAAAAGCCGCAATAGTCTATAAAAACGCCGCAAAAAGATAAAACGATTAAGTTGACAATTCAAGTGAAATAACTACCTACCTTGGGTAAAAATCTAACGGTTAAGTTGACCTTGGCATGGTACATATATATGGTAAGTATGATTTAAAATTTGTTCATCTTTAAAATTAAATATAATAAAATTATGAAATTTTGATTATTGAATTAATTTAAATTTTTAATAAATAATCTATACATAATTACTTATATAAGATTCAGAGTAGTGCTTGTGATAAGCTGATGTGTTGCAGCAGTTTTCTAGTCTACACACTTTTGCCGCACAAAGCATGCTGATAGAGTATGAACATGGTATAAAATAACTATTTTTCCATTGTGTCTGTAAATATATTCGTACTTTGTGATATATCCATCAATATTGTCACATTCTCAAGGTCATTATATATAGTTTTATTAATGTTTTATAAATTGTGATAAGATTTTTTTGTTGTCTTTTCATTTTTAATTCTTTTTTCCTCACAAGGAAAGAGCACACAGGCACAAAAACATGTAAATGGGGAAAATAATTTGTCAACAGAAAATTTATACAAAATACACATTCAGAAATGATGCGTTAAATTGTTATATTTAACAACATTTTTAAAATTATGAAAATAATGGTGGTGTTTTGATTAGAAAGAAGGGGACACAAGAAGTCATAATTTTATACAAATTATTCGTAAAATAATCATGCCAATAATTTGTGAGAGAGGGAGGGAGGGCTAGTTGTTGTGAAAGTAGTTAGTCTTCGTTTCACATAAGTTAAAATAGAGTTTTTTTTGGCTAAAATAGTCACAAAAAGACAAAATAGATTTTTAGTCCAATAAGATAAAAATGTCACATCCAAATCATAATCATTTTATTTTTTTTCTCACAAAAGTCAAAAAGCCTATTCCAAATGAGACTCTTTAACTTCAGACTAAAATAGCCAAAAATCCAACGTACATCCCAAACGAACTCTTAATATCATGGGTGAGCATATGTCATGCATTTTGGCCATTAAAAAACTTGGTATTAATGTAAGCTTGGTTAGAGATCTTTAAAATAAATACATAAAAAAAAAAAAAAATTCTAAATGGTTTGCACGTCACTAGTGGTCTTCCACACAGAATAATGTTTGTTTTTAATGAAGAATATTATTTATACATAAATGCATCCAGTATTCTTCGTCATCGTCACCAAAGATTTTGAGAGAGAGAGAGAGGGGGGGGGGGACAAGCCTTTCTGATGATGATGATGATGTTGATGATGATAGCAGCTTCAAGTATCAATTTTGCAGAAGCATTCAAGGAGGAAGGTGGCATGGGAGGAGTCATCCATGTTGGAGGGAAAGTGCTTTGCCAGGACTGCTCCCAAGGCTGGAATGAATGGGTCCATGGTGCCAAGCCTATCATGGGTACTCTCTCTCTCTAATTTGTTTTGATAATGAATATTTGTATAATTGGGAGTGATGCAGGTTGCAAAGTATCCATCACATGCATGGATGAGAGAAAAAGGGTGACATACTATGGAAGTGATGAGACCGATGAAGCCGGTGACTATGAGATGACCCTAAACAAGTACATCAATGGTGGCAAAGAATTGGACCCAAACAAATGCTCAGTGAGGCTGGCCTCATCACCAGACCCTGTCTGCAACATTGCCACGGACTTTGCCGGTGGGAGGTCAGGGGTGAAGCTGAGGAGGGCCACTGTGGTGTACAGGGTCAAACATGTGCTCAGCCCATTCTATTACACTACTCCCATGTGTGATGAACCTGATACTACTACTACTACTCACTCCTCTTCCTCCTCATATGCCAAACAAACCAAATATTAAATTTTATTTTGTGGATTTTTTGGTTTATTGTTATGTTATTTGTGGTATTGTTACTTTATGAAATGGATTTATTTGTTGGGATTTCTAGTTGTGTAGTTGAATTGTAATTGTTTAATTTGATATAATTTTTCTTATATTTGTTGTTATTTCCTACTACTCTCCTCTAATTGTTTAATTATGTGGCATGCTTCTAGGATTTTTATTTTATTTTATTTTTACTTTGAGGTAAAAACCTCTCTTTTTGAAAGATGAATGAATAATAAAACCTTGGTCTTTCTGTCCACAATAATAACATGGATGTATACTCTAAGATTTGAAAAGCAGATAGTCAGGTTCAAAGGCTAGAAACTTATCCTTAGCTGGTAGAGTCACTCTCATACAAACTGTTACCTCTGCCATCCTTAGCTATAACATGCAAATCATGGAGCTTCCTAGAAAATTTTGTGATGAGACTGACAAAATCAATAGGAACTTTCTTTGGGGTGAGACTGATAATAGCAAGAAAGTTCATTTAGTAAGTTGGAACAGTGTATGTAGAGCTAAAGAGAATGAAGGACTTGGCATTAAAAGAGCTAGAGACCACCATGCTGCAGTCCTCACTAATAAGCTTCGTTGGAAAATGTTAGCTGAGAATGATAAACTCTGGTGCAAAGTGCTCCATGCCAAATATTTGAAGAGGAACTACTTATATAAATGGCCTATGAAGAGGAGAGCTTCTGATGCAGTGCTAATCGAAATAGTAGTAACAATCTTAAGATCCGTTGATTCACACAAGAATACCGGAAATAAGACTCCTCTTTAGACCCGTTGATTCCCCAAGAATACCGAGTTTAAAGGCTCAACCAAAGTTGATTCACACAGAATTAACTAAAATTGGAACAAAGAGTAATAAAACTCAAAATATATTAATCAAAAAACTCTAGAGCCCTAAGGCTTTACACCCACTATTTATAAAAAAACAGAGGCTAATCTCCACAGTAGACTAAGGCAATAAAATATAAAAAACAGAGGCTAATCGCCACAAAGCAACATACGGGTTTGGAAATAGACTAAGGCAATAAAATATAACAAACTAAGGCAACAAAGGTAATAAAATATAATAAACTAAGGCAACAAGGAAAAGCTAACATAAGACAAATAATAAGGCAATTGCCAAAAGTGAACATAATAATAAACTAAAGCCATTGCTTGCTGTGCTGATCACGGAATTGCTGGTTGCGTGCTGTGCTGCTGTGCTGGCGATGTGCTGGCTGCATCAGCTTCCCACATTTGGAAAAGCGTAAGTAAGAACAGGGACACTCTTAGAGAGGGGATTAAATGGAGTGTGGGAAATGGGGATGCCATTTCTTTATAGCATGACTGGTGGTGTGGACAAAACCCCCTTGACCAAAATTATAATACTCCACAGGTTAATGATGAAGATAAGGTGAGTTTACTCCTGGATGATGAAGGGAATTGGAACACTGAAGTCATAGCTAATATTGTCAATCAGCAAGATCTCCAGAGATCCTCAAGATGCATAGACCCAGATTTGTGACTTACACTGATACCCCTACCTGGCTTGGATCCTCTCGGGGTAATTTCTCTATAGCATCTGCTTATAAGATCATTGCAAACCATGAGATGGATGTGAGTGACTGGAAATAGGTTTGGAAGATTAAAACTCCCCAAAAGCTGAAGTACGTTCTTTGGCTTATCCTCAAGGATAGACTGCTAACTAACCAAATGAGGCTTAGGAGGAACATGGCAACTACTGATCTATGTCCTGGATGTGGGGATTCCAATTGTTAGTATATACTTATTACTTGTATATAGTTGTTAATTATAGCTTTACACACTTTAGCTTTAAGCTTTATTCTTTTAGCTTTCACTTTCGGTGGTGGTGGGTTTGGTATCCAATGCACCATTTCTCTCTATATAGAGAGAGTTCATCTCTTTGTAATCACATACAATACAGAAAATTGTAAGCAAACTCTGCTTGGTGCAATTTGTGATCCCATGATTTCAAATGATCCGTTACTAAACATCGTAACATGTTGCCCAAAGAACGATTGACAACTTCGGTCTGTCCATCTGTTTGAGGGTGATAGGCGCTACTGAAATCAAGCTTTGTGTTAGCCAAGCGCCACAGACATCTCCAAAAATGACTAAGAAATCGGGTGTCCCTGTCAGATACAATGGACTGAGGGAGCCCATGCAAACGATAGATTTCTCGAAAATATAGTTGGGCCACATTTACAGCATCCGTCGTCTTTTTGCACGCAATGAAATGGGCCATTTTTGAGAACCTGTCCACGACTACGTAGATGGAGTCACAACCTCGCTGAGTGCGCGGGAGTCCCAAAACAAAGTCCATACTAACGTCAGTCCATGGCTGGTTGGGCACGGGTAACGGCATGTATAAGCCTGCATTGGTCGCGGATCCTTTGGATACTTGGCAGATGCAACACCCGTCCACAAGCTTGAAAATTTATTTCGTCATAGAAGGCCAAAAGTAAGAACTAGCCACAAGCTGCAAAGTTTTGTCACGCCCAACATGGCCTTCTTCATGCAACTCCTTGATAATTCTCAATCGAAGACTTGATGCAGGCACACACAATTGGTTGTCTTTGAAGAGGAATCCATCATGGAGAAGAAAGTTCGACCTCTGACCTGATTTAATTTCCGCCACAATACAAGAGAAATAGGGATCAACAGACAATAGTTCTTGAAAGGAATCGAATCCAAGTACCGTATTTCTCATAGTAGTAAGTAGAAAAGAACGGCGGCTAAGTGCATCAGCCACTTTGTTCAAGGCCCCTGATTTATGTTTAATCACAAAGGTGAATTGCTGTAGATATGCTGCCCAATTGGCGTGTCTTGAAGAAAGTTTGTCTTGGCTGTTGATGTGCTTCAACGCATCATGGTCAGAAAATAAAATGAATTCACTTTGGGACAGATAAGGATACCAATGTTTCAGGGATTGGACAATGGAATAAAATTCCACATCATAAGTGCTGTAGTTGCCTTTGGAACCACTAAGCTTCTCACTGAAATATGCAATTGGACGACCCCCTTGGCTCAAAACAACCCCAATGCCCACTTTAGATGCATCACAGTATAGCTCAAAGGTTTTAGCAAAATCTGGTAATATGAGGACTGGTGCTGAAGTTAATTTTTGTTTGAGTTGTTGGAATGCTTCTGCCGCTGCCTCTGTCCAACAGAATTGGCCAGCTTTCATGCAGTCCGTAATTGGTGCCATAATGCTACTAAAATGGCGAATGAACCGCCGATAGAACGAAGCCAACCCATGAAAGCTTCGTACGTCGTGAATGTTTTTTGGTACTGGCCAGTCACGAATTGCATTTACCTTGCTTTCATCCACAGAGAGGCCATCTTTAGATACGACATAACCGAGGAACACAACAGTATCGGTTAAGAAGGAACACTTGTTGGTGCCAACATAAAATTTTGCTTCCTGCAGTACTGATAGAACCTGGCGCAAATGCTGAAGGTGCAATTCATTATTAGCGCTATAAACCAAAATATCATCAAAATAAACAACAACAAACTTCCCGATAAAAGGCCGAAATAGTTGGTTCATCACACGCATAAAAGTACTGGGAGCGTTTGATAAACCAAATGGCATGACTAGCCACTCGTAAAGCCCCTCTCGAGTTTTGAAGGCTGTCTTCCATTCATCACCTTCCCGAATCCGAATCTGGTGGTAACCACTTTTCAGATCCAATTTGCTAAACACAGTTGCTCCACTTAACTGATCTAATAAGTCATCCAACCGAGGTATGGGGAACCTATATCGGATAGTGATCTTATTAATTGCTCTACTATCGACGCACATGCGCCACGAGCCATCTTTCTTGGGGGTCAATAGTGCAGGTACGGCACATGGACTGAGGCTTTCTCGGATGTGTCCTTTGGCTAACAATTCCTCCACTTGTCGGCGAAGTTCCTCATGCTCTTTTGGACTCATGCGGTAGTGGGGTCTATTTGGCAAATTTGATCCTGGAAGCAAATCAATTTGATGTTGTATGTCTCGCATGGGTGGTAACATTGGGGGTAACTCCTTGGGAAATACATCATGGAACTCTGCAATTAGAGCCTTCACAGGCTCAGGGATCTTATTCTCTATAGCACTGTCTTTTCCTACTAGTACGAACACCATTCCCGTTTCAGCCACCTCCTCCAAGAACCGGTGCATAGACAATAAGCTAGAACTCTTCTCAGTGGCTAGCTTTGGTGCTTCTTCTCTATGAGGTTCAAGAACAATGCGGATCTTGTTAAATACAAAGGAGTAAGTGTTCTTTCGTCCATCGTGCAATACGTCGCGGTCAAATTGCCAAGGCCTTCCTAATAAAATATGGCAAGCATCCATCTGAACCACATCACACCATACCTTGTCCCTGTAATTAGAACCAATAGATAAGGTGACTAAACAACGCTTGGAAACTGTTACCTCCTTGCCTTTTTGAAGCCATGACAGTTTGTAGGGGTTGGGATGTTGGCTTGTACTTATTCCCAATTTTGCTACAGCGTCCTCCGCAATGACATTCTCACAACTTCCGGAATCAATTACGAACTTGCACACCTTCCCACTAATGGTACACGTGAATTGGAAGATGTTTCGTAACCACCCATTCCCTTCAACCTCTCGAGGTGTATAGCAAGCCCTGCGCACAACCAATAGAGGACCCTCATCGCCGGCAACTCGTTCTTCCTTGTCATAAATACTAACTTCGGAATCATTGGTAGTATCTTGCAGAACTTCATTAGTCCCATCTTCGACAATCTCTTCGCTGTCTATGAATAGGCCCTTGCCAATCCGATCACTTTTTCTGCAATCTGCAACGCGATGACCAACTTCCCCGCACTTGAAGCAACGCATCCAGCATGTTTAGAATTTATCTTAAGACACGTGGAACGCAACCCTGAGCAGTTTTCTCAGGACCTCTTCTCACAATTTTAGCATGGTTTGAGTGTCCCATTCCTCACACGATTTCAGC